GGTTCGAACTGGTTCGGGTGAGCTGGAAATTCTGCTGAGCATTTGGCCCAACCACCGCTGCATTTTCCTGTCCTATATTTCCGTTTTCTTTTTTAGCTCAGCTGATTTGCATGGCACAGTGGATTGCTCTGCGTCAGCTGTTTTTTTTTTTTACTCACTGGAGCTGACATAGAAGGTCAGTTTTTAAACTTTAAAAAGTCATTTTTTGATTGCTGCACGCGCGCGCACTCACCGAACCAGTTGTTAAACCGGTTGCATCCCATCACTGCACCAAAGGCTCTGAGCAGATCCTAAATGTTCAATCTCCAGCATCTCGATTTTTCTACACAATAACCCTTAGGGTCCGATTCCCTGCTGCAGAGCCACCACGATTCAGATTCTGCATGGGTTCCAACCCGGCTTGGTCCCTGCGTCCCTTGCCAGATGCATTAAACGGGCTTTCAAGTCTAATTCTGGAAAGGTGGAAGAAAAGATGGCGGAAACAGGAGGAAGGGGAAGAATTCAAAGAAGCGTCTTTCATTTCTCCCTCCCCCCTTACCAGATGCATCGTTATTATCTCTCCCGACCCCAACCCCCACCCCACCGCAAAAATCTTAATTTTTTTTTCTTTAAATTGTACACAAAACAACAGAACACATTCACAAGCCACTTGTTGGCACTGTGTACCTGAGTGAGAATTTTCTAGAACATTATAGAACAAATAGCCATAAAGTTTATTTGAAAAAAAATAATAATAATAAAAGGTCAAACGGGTAAGACTTCAGTGCTTGGGTATAGCAGCTGAATTACTGGCATTATGTTACCCATAGCTTATTTTTTTTTGTCCTTTTTTTCTTCTCTTTCGTCATGATTGACTTCCTTGATAGGGTTTCTTCCTCTGAGCCTTTTGTGGTCTTTTCTTTTAGAATTCCTTTCTTGTTTTCCCAAAGTTCTCCACGCTGGCTGATCTCTCCTGATCAGCTGATGTCCCAACTAGTTAAGAGTAAAAAGTTTTAAGTAACAGTCAAGTGTGTGAGGATAAAGTTCGTGTGCTTGGCCACTGGGCAAGAAACCGGATTTTTTGGGGGGGGCTCTCCATTAAAGTCCTCCGAGGTCAAAACCAAGAATTTGGGACCCCTCCCCCGATCAGTTGGCTTGTCCCGCAATGTGGTTTTCGCTTTCGCTGCCGTAGTCCACATCGCGATCGTCGTCTTCATCCTCATCGTCTTCGTACATTTCGCCATTGATGTCCTCGCTCTGGATCTCCTCTTTGACGTGAGAAGTCTCCTCGTTTTTGATGCCATAAGTGCTCTGGATGATGGGCATCCCAGGTTCTGGGCTACTAGATACACTTGAATGCTCGGAGGGGAGATGTGGGGAGGGCATTCCCGTCATGGCGATGGCTCCCGGGTAGACGACACCGGCTGCCGCAATAGGAATCTGTGCTTGCTGTCTGTGGGCGAGAAAGAAAAAACAGGCATTGAGCAAAGGGAGTCCGCTTGTAGAAAGTTAGCACTCGCCCCTCTCCTAGAACAGGGGTCAGTAACCCACGGCTCTGGAGCCACATGTGGCTCTTTTATCCCTCTGCTGCGGCTCCCTGTTACTCAAAAATATGCGTCACAACCGCCAATGTGCAACACTCGCCAGCATGAGATTTATTGAGTTTTTTTACCCCCGGTAGGCCAACCATACATAAATCCAAGCAAAGTTTCAGAAGAAAACAGAACGTTTAATTCAACTACATATGCTAGTTTTGTGGCCGCTCAGGAAATAGTCAGGGACCGGGAGGGTTTTGTGGGTTTCCCGGTGTTTTCTCTTCTGTGGGAAACGGGTCCAAATGGCTCTTGGAGTGTTTAAGGTTGCTGACCCCTGTCCTAGAAGAATGAAATATTTTGAGAAGTATTAAAAAGGCAGGATAAAATATTTCCCCTGTAGAAGAGAAATAAAAATCCTAAGGGAGACAGAAACTCAGAGCCCTCAAGCAGATACTAAACCGAGGCCAGCTTTTGTAAGAGCCGAGGTGGAGCAGTGGTTAAATGCAGCACTGCAGGCTACTTCAGCTGACTGCAGTTCTGCA